CAGCAAAGCTATCATTTAAAATTAAAGGTCAAATAAGAGCTTCACAGATAAGAAAAAGTTAAAAGAGTTCATCACCGCCAAACCCAAACCAGTATTATATAAAGTGATAAAGGGTATTCTTTAAGAAGAGGAAGAAGAAGAAAAAGTAAAGATAAAAATTATGAACAGCAAATACATATCTATCAACAAATGAATCTAAAAATTAAGTGAATTAAAAAATATGACTAACAGAATAAACTGGTGAATAGAATCGGGGGCATAGAAAGGGAGTAGAGCCCTAGCCAGTTTGGCTCAGTGTATATAGAATCAGCCTGAAGACCCAAGGATCTCATGTTTAATTCTGGTCAAGGGCATGTACCTTGGTTGCTAGGACATACCCAGTAGGGAGTGTGCAGGAGGCAGTTTCTCTCTCATCGATGTTCTAACTCTCTATCCCTGTCTCTTACTCTCTGTAAAAAATCAATAAAATACATTTTTAAAAAAAAAAACCTGCCCAGATGAACCAAAAGATAGATATAGAGACAGTAAAGCAACAAGCAGATTGTCAAATTACAGCGGGGAGGGGAGGAGGATCTGGGGGAGATAATAGATCAACCGAAGGACTTGTATACATGCATATAAGTACAACCAATGGACATAAAACTATGGGGAGGGAGGGGATATGGGGGAGGGAGGGAGGGGGGCAAAAAAAAATCATTAAAATATGTAAAAATAAATAAATAAATAAATTAAAAAAAATAAATAAATAAAAAAATAAAAAAAAAATTATAAAAAAATAAAAAAAAAAAACCTGCCCATTATCATGGAAGCATTAACCTTGTTGTCCACCCAGCCGGCATAGCTTACCCTACTTCCCCATATTCATAAATCAGAAAAGAGCAAACTAAAGTCCTAAAAGATAGAAAGCCAACATTACATTACAGACACACAGACAGAAATCTCACTAGCTAAGAGTGTCTGGTGGCTAACACCCTGAGAGGGCGAGCAGGAAGAGTCCCCAAGATTAAGGATTCTTGGCAGCTGCTGGGACATCCTTCAATCTCTGTCATGTGTTCAGCCTCACCACACATAACTGGGCTTCCCCAAAGTGGGACTTGCCCCATCTTTAAACAAATTAAACAAACAATAAAGAGACATAAAACATCAACAGAAAAATTCTTCTACAGGCACACACAACACACGAAGAGTTTACACTATAGAATCCCCTGCTTTAAGAACCACTAAAGCAGACAGTGTCTTCTGTCCCTGGTTCCGGAACCGCCCCTCCCCAGAATCTCAGCACTCTCTCAATGGACTATTTCGGGGGCACGTATTCCGTAGGCCTAGAATTTCTGTTTCCTATCCTCAACAGGCCCTTTGTGACTATGTACTCACCCTCCCATGTTGGAGCTTTCTCCTACTCCCCGAGATCAGCTTTGTCCCTCTCTGGCCACTTCCCTCGCAGGAGAATGGAGCCACAGATCAGAACTCCCCACTCCCACACACATCCCAGTCACAAACACCTGACCTCCAAGGATACCTAATCACCAAAGTAGTACTCAGTCCAATTTCCCAACTTAGCTCATGAGGTTACCTGACTGCCATGGTTCTTGCTTGGGCCCTTCATGCATTGCTGGCTGACTCTCGATCCTGAGCTCGTAGTCGGCCCAGGGGTAATGGCTGTCCCTCCTCATCAAGGCCACCACAATTTGTCAGCGGGGCGCACTTCCTCAGAAGAGGGGTCCAGTCTCCCGGTGATGACAAATGGTATCCTGGACAAGCCCCCAAATTGTAAGAAATAAGGCGAATCCTGGTAGAACACAAAACGTACCCGGGAGCCAGGCAGCAAGGCAAATATCTTTACTCCTGCAGGAGGATGCCCAGCATGTAGTCTGGTAGCACGCACACACTGAGCAGAGTCTGCTCAGCTTTTTAATCCTGATGCACATGACCTGTCCTTCACTCTTGGTTGGCTAATTCAAAGGGAGGGGTTGGCCTTTGCCATTTCAAGATGGTGGCCCCCAGGGGAGCTGCAAGTCATGCAATCCAAAATGATGGCTGTCTGTCTAAACTGTTCTTTGACGGAAAGGATGACTTGTTTATCCTCACACTTGGTCTCCTCAAAATACCCACGAGTGAGGACATATATGTGCATGAGAGTGAGTGATGGAGCTCTTCGCCTGCCAGCGGTTAGGAGTGCCATGGAGTAAGGCCTAGCCACTGAGAATTGCCCACAGAAATTCACAAATCCAGTAAAAATTGCCCTGATTTCCAGGGGATGGAATGTGGCCCTGAAACTTCAGAAATGGATGCATTTGATAATATGTTTAAATCATATCCACTCAGGCTTAGAGTAGCACCTAGGAATTATATAGACCTCTTTGAAATGTAAAGATGACTACAAATCTTCTGAAACTATATTTTTGTTGTTTTTCTTAATCCCTTTCCAGTGTGGAACTCCTTCCCTCCAGGAAGTTTCCTGTTCCTCACAGATAATCCCATCTGGAGTTTCCTGCAGAACCTTCCTGTTCGTCTATGTTGTGTTCTCCATTATCCACCCACACAGGAGGTTGCATTGACATCTTTAAACTTTAAGTAACAGAAGGACACAAATATTAGTTTTCTCAGAAGTCGATGTCTTTGAGAAAATCTGTTGGCAATCTCTTTTTTTCTGTTGTTTTTTTTTTAAGATTATTTCGCTTTATTTTCTTTCCTGGGTTTTGTCAGGTAGCAGGGTGGACCTTGTGTTTGGAGATAAGAGAATCAGCACTGAGATATGCTGGTGTTAATTTGAGGGGGGTCAGGTGCAGTTGCTGACGGTAGCCACGTGTTTGTTTGTTTGTTTGTTTGTAATATAATTTTATTGATTTCAGAGAGGAAGAAAGAGAAAGAGAGAAACATCCACAATGAGAGAGAATTATGGATCGGCTGCCTCCTGCAAGTCCCCCACTGGGGATCAAGACCACAACCCCGGGCATGTGTCCTTAACCAGAATTGAACCTGGGACCTTTCAGTCCCCAGGCCAATGCTCTATCCACTGATCCAAACCAGCTAGGGGAGAAGCCATATATGAAGTCAGCATGAACGTACTGTGTTCTAAGCCTGCCTCATCACTTTGGCTGGGTCTGAATGACACTGTTGGGATGAACCTGGTTATTAAATAACTGGAAAGGAGCACAGGCAAGGCCACATTTTACAGGAATGCCATTTGTGCAGCTTTGCCAGACAGCTGCAATAGAAACGCAGGCCCAGTAAAGTCAGGGTGACCTAGGGAAGGCACCTGCCTGTCCGTCACACCTGGCAACAGATCAGCAGCCAGAGCAGACATGGCCACTGCAAGTGCGGGAAGATTTGAGATACATAAGCACCTAAACTAAGAAATTCCCTCTCTTGTTGCTCTTGCTCTCTTGCTTGCTCGGTCACCTGGCCAGCAGGACTCTCACTCGCCTGCATTCACCCACAGCCATGTGGACCCCACAGAATGGACTAATGACTACCACCAGCCTAATGCTACACCAGACCCCGTTCCACCATGGAATGGAAACTCTGGACACTGGCTTCGCTTTTAGCTCCGCTGAATCCCCAGCTGCCCGTCTCCCAGGATGCTTTAAGGGAAATGGGACTTTGCAAACCTAGAGATGTAATTCCATGCAAATAAAGATCACTCATCCTCCCGTACAATATTCTTTCTCGAGATGTCATAAGAACCCAACCCCCAGCACTCAGTGGGGAGAAGGGATACCCAGCTTCCACCAATAACAGGAAGACAATGTTTGACAGGAAAAGAAATTGTGTCTCATGTCTTGGGCACTCTTGAGTCCCTGCATGGGCCAAATTCTCTCTTTCCACTCTAAGGTTTTGGGGAGACCAGACCTGTACCTTCATTAGCCAACTAGTGGGGTCTCAGTGGAGAAGAAGATGGGCTATGAAAGTGCTGAGGCATTGGTTTGACTGCTGAGACTCACAGCCTAGCTGTACAGAAGTGGCTTTTGGATCCACCTCCTCCAAATGTTTGCTTCTTGCCTGATTGATGAGAGAGCCTAAGACTCCTGGCTGGTGCCACTGAGCTGTCATCCTGCTTGGCCGTGTAGTCAGACAATATGGAAGTGGGGAATGGAGCTCCTGGCATTAATTGCCTGAGGGAGAGCCAGGCTTCACGTTTTTTCTGGCATGTATTGAGTGGATAATAGAGAAAATCTCAAAAGGAATTAATGAAATAAAAACAATTTTACCAAAATTGATGAAAGCTCGCATGCCATCAATTTGAGGGCATCCTTAGAAAATTAAATTTAACAGAATAAAATTGAGTATGGACTGTCTAGTGGGGATATTGTATCAAAGTTAAAAATCTCTGACTTCAATATTTGCATTGTGGTTGTTGGAGAATATCCTTGACCATAGGAGATATATACTAAAGTTTACAGGTATGGAGAGGTAAAGGGTTATGATGTCTGCCACTCACTCCAGAATAATTCAGCAAAATAATAATAGCAATAATATGAGAGAGAGCATGCATACAAATTTGGACAGATGTTAACACTCATAGAATCTAGGTGAAAGATTTGCAGGTATTTGTAGGTTCTCCCAATCTTTCTGTAAGTTTAAAAGTTTTCAAAATATAAAGTTAAGAAAAGCAAGGCACAGTGATTCCTCATCAAAGACATTTGATTGAGAGCAGTCACACAGACAGATGCAATCAACTGGAAGAGGCTCCCCAGAGTGCCCGGTGGCCTGTTTCTCTCAGGATTGTCTTGAAAGGTCCAAAGAACCTGTGGACAGAGGCATGGAGTTAAAGATTGTGTTCCATTAAGAGACTAAGAGTTCTCTGCTGTAGCCAGTTTGGCTCAGTGGATAGAGCCAGTTTGACCTGTGGACTAAAGGGTCCAGGTTTGATTCCGGTCAAGGGCACATACCTCATTGCAGGTTCGATTCCCGGCCCTAGTCATGGTTCATATGGGAGGCAACCAATCAGTGTGTCTCTCTCACATCCGTCTTTCTCTCTCCCGTGCCTTCCACTCTAAATATCAATGGAAAAAGTATCCTTGGGTGAGGATTAGCAACAAACAAAAAGACTAAGAGTTCCCAACCAACACACTCAACCCATGAAGTGGGGCCCTGTCTGCTCAAGGGATCATCTCTGGGCCAAAAGACACCATTCACTCTGAGATCGGCTCTGCCTTTTCTCCTCTCCATGGAGAAGCCGCTCAAAAGCCTGCTCTTCTGGACTGGCCTCCAGTTTTTATGCTGTTTTTTGAAGGTTCTTTAACCCACCAGCAGAGAATACACTGTTTATCAAAGGGATCGTTGACTGCCAGCTCTCCAGCTCCTCAACTTCTCTTATCTCATTCTTCAGCTTGTTGGCCTTCTCCTTTACCCGGAAAGGCAAGCTGTAGGGAGAAAACAACACCCTTAGTTTGCATTTGTCTGATGCAAAATTGATCAGCATGCTCAGTAAGAAGGCCTCCAATTTAGGAGATCAGTGTCAAATAAAACACTGTGCTAATTGTTCACCATTTGCCCCTGCCCCAAACCCAGATCTTTTTTCTGCCCTTCTCTGTCCGGGAAACTGACCCCTGCAGCTGTCATTAGCTTGACTTCTCTCTGAGCTGGGCGTGGCTAAGGAGAGACACCAACAGAAGATGAGAAGGTGAGCAGACAGGGTGGGATATTTCTTACCTAATTCCTGCCCTGTATCCTGAGGAACCCCAGTTCTGGCAGCGGCCACATTCTCCACTGCCACAGCTCCTTCTGAGCAGCCCTTCTACTCCCACTGCTCTGCAAACCACGATTCCTCCTCTTGCTGCTTAGACTTCAGAGCAGTAAAAGCTTCCCCCTGTTGGCAGCCCCTGGGTGTGTCACCCTCCCATGTCTTTTCTCGCAACTTGTTCACACATCTGTGAACACGTCCTTCGTGGAGCTGCCTTCAGAACCCCAGCTGAGTGTGCCTCTGCTTTCTGCTGGGGCCTTAGCTAACGCAAACACCCAGGGTCCTCCTCCCGGTCTGTTGAGATTTGAAATGACATATGCTGGGCTGGGCTGTGTGTGCAGCGATCAGGCAGTGAGACTCCTGGGATGAGTCGAAGCAGGGAGATTTCTATGTTTTGGTAGCTAGAACTTCCATTCTTTTAAGGAGAAATGCACCATGGGTGGGGGAAAGCCCTGATAACCCTGTGGAGGGTAGGGAAGACCCTGCAAGGAGGAAGAGGATAAATGCAGACCAAGTATGCCGAACTCGCGGCCCATAGACCGCATGTGGCCCACAACGAATATTTCTGTGACCCAGCCAATATAACGGTATGTAAGAAAAGTTTTAATAAAAATTTCATAGCTTAATTTTTATATTATCCTGTTACACATAATTATTAATAAGGAGCTATAACATTCGCTAATGACCAATTACTATAATCATGTTCCATTCATTTCCCTTACATGCCTTACGCACAGATGCACAATTTCTCTCCACTAATACTAACAGCGAATATTTTAACAGCTGATTGTCACGTCATTAGTCTTGGACTGACCTGTTCGATGTGTGCAACAGAAAATATTTTGCTTTCAGAGAACAAGGAAAATAGGTTTATTTGTGTTATGCTTATTAATTTGTGCAGTTATTCAGTGTCTGATAAATTAATGTTCAAGAAAAACTGTTAATTTTTATTAAAATGTTCTATTATTTTATGCTAACGATTACCCATTTATTTCAGCCCTTTGTATTCAGCATGTCTCTATCAAAATAAACCTATGTTTCTATGAAAATTGAAGCTTTTGTTTTTTTGAGGCCCATATAAACTTAAATCTTGTTTATTTGGCTCGTGTTAGCCTTTGAGTTTGACATGCTTGATGTAGACAAATAGATGGGCATCAGGTTATCATTTAAAACTATCATTTACAGCTGAAGCCGGTTTGGCTCAGTGGTAGAGTGTCGGTCTGCGGACTGAAAGGTTCCAGGTTCGATTCCGGTCAAGGGCCTGTACCTTGGTTGCGGGCACATCCCCGGTAGAAGGTGTGCAAGAGGCAGCTGGTCGATGTTTCTCTCTCATCGACGTTTCTAGCTCTCTATCTCTCTCCCTTTCTCTCTGTTAAAAATCAATAAAATATATATATTTTTTAAAAACAAAAAAAACTATCATTTACAAACAAACCCAAATAATAGAAGCCCAAGTAAAACTAGCAGGACAAAAAGTAATATACTTCCAAAACTGGTTTGGCTCAGTAGATAGAGCATTGGCCTGTGGACTGAAGGGTTCCGGGTTCAGTTCTGGTCAAGGGCATGTACCTTGGTTGTGGGCACATCCCCAGTAGGGGGTATGCAGGGGGCAGCTGATCGATGATTCTCTCTCATCGATATTTCTGACTCTCTATCCCTCTCTCTTCCTCTCTGTAAAAAAGCAATTATATTGTGTGTGTGTGTGTGTGTGTGTATATATATATATATATATATACATTTTGTTTTTGTTTTTTTTTAAGTAATATACTGACACTCTTTCTAGGTTGGAACCTTGCTTCAGTAAATAAAGTTCAGAATGGAACTAAGCAAAAATATGAGATCTGATAAATGATACTTTATTCAAATATAGGAATACTCCAATGGTTTCCTCTCTGCCTTTTCACACCCTAACCATCCTCCCTGGCTGCACTCAATTAAGCATCTTTCATTGCCAACAATCTCTTACGTTTCAGAAATCAGGAACCTTGTCTTTTTCTCCACATAACCCTCCACACACACATAGTGCACACACCTAGCACACCACCTGGCATCTGGTAGTTTGTCAATCATATCTTGTGAGTAGCCCAGCTGTCAGAACCCACAGAGACTTGCCTCCAAGTGTCTCACCAGCAACTCTCTATACAAACTGCCCTGCCTACCTACTGGGATTCAAAAGGTCCCTGTGTGTTGGGTGTCCATGAGTTCCTCCATAGGAGAAAATAATAACTGATATTTTCATAAAGATCCTATATAATAAAAGCCTAATATGCTAAGTATCTGGTCATCCATTCAACCAATCAAAGCATAACATGCTAATGATATGCTAAGGATGCTGAGACTACTTAACCACTCACTATGATGTATACTGACCACTAGGGGGCAGGTACTCAATGTAGGAGCTGCCCCTGGTGGTCAGTGTGCTCCCATAGGGGGAGCACCATTCAGCCAGAAGCTGGGCTCACAGCTGGCAAATGCAGTGGTAGTGGCAGGAGCCTCTCCTGCCTCTGTGCCAGCGCTAAGGATGTCTGACTGCTGGCTTAGGCCCACTCCCCAAGGGCATAAGGACATCCCCCGAGGGCTCCCAGACTTTGAGAGGGCACAAACTGGGCTGAGGGATCCCCCCTTCAAGTGCACAAATTTCGTGCACCAGGCCTCTAGTAGGATAATAAAATACAATAAAAACAGGGTGGGAGAACTCACTTGGGAATTTGTGGAAGAGGCTCAAGTGGAATAAATGTATCATATTTCTTTTCATAAGGCACTCTGAAAAACAGAAAAGGTGGTCATAAAATGGATTTGCTTCTACAGCAAAGAGGTCAATACATCATTGTGTTCAATAAAATATCTTATTTTCTCATTTTAATTGTCATCTATGGGCTTCAAGACTGTAAGGGCCATAATTCCTATTCTATCATTTTTAGTGAAAATCATTAAATCAGTTAATTTTTAATTGGTATTTTTAATGTAATACACCAACTATTTTTCTTTTAATGACCCTCCCTCTTTACTTAGTCACTTTGCTCTAAGTTTAGTTCCAAGTGTAAGTGAACCCAACTCGTAGTCACTACTCAAAAACCTGATTCAGTATGAAAATAGAAAAGTCTTAAAAGCTGTGGTAATAATAATAGGAATAAAATTAACAACCACTTTTTCTAGCAAGGATCCTATGTATAATTTTAATTTATACTCACATGTGTGCATACACTAGCGAACTACATATGGACATTTTAAAGATTTTTCACCAACCATGTTTTGTTGAGATCTACCCTTTTTGAAATAGAATTATATGTAGTAAAGAAAGATACAACTCCTTTCAATTTAACTAAATAACCCTGTATTGACATATACTTACAATGAAAAATTCACTGGTGGAAGAGTTGCTCCTACTTTGTAGAAGTCCTTACTCTGTTCTGGGTACATATATGGATTATCTCCTGGAGTTAATGTTGGGATTCCATTCCTGGGATCAATATCTGTGAACGACGTTTTTAAAAAAATCATTAAAATGCCTAAAAATTATCTGCAGATTTGCTTTAATGATTTATGGGATAATGGAAATAAGATAATGTAGTTCTTTATTATGAGGTACATACAGGTATCCTAAAGTTCTATTTATAATTGTCTTCCCTTGAGAAGATGACAAAAGTGTGAGCCTATGTTGGGGACATTTTCTAAAAGGTGTTACGATTACCTCACAAAAATATGGGAAAGAAGAATAGCTGAGGTTTGGATTCAAGTGAATGATGAATCAGAGATATCGCTGCAACAATGAGCAAAAACTCTAACTTAGCCCTGCATCAACCTAGGAGCCAAGAGATCACGTTTTAATTCCCAGTCAGGGTATATGCCCTGGTTGCGGGCTTGATCCCCCGTGTGGGGCATATAAGAGGCAGCTAATCAATGATTCTCTCCTCTTGACATTTCTGTCTCTCCCTCTCCCTTCCTCTTTGAAATCAATAAAAATACATAGATTTCTTTAAAACTCTGACTTAAATCTTTTCATCCCTGCGCATGAGTGCCTCGTGAATCCCTGAATCCTACAAAGTTTGAGAAACAACTGTCTGGGGCTGTGCCTCTCAGGAGGAAGGTAGGTAATGAGAGGCCACTCCTCCTTCTGCTTCAAGGCCTGGGCCATGCTGCACCAGGAGGTGGCCTTCCCTGTGAAGAGGAGCCACACTACTTACTCAGCTAGAACAGTGGCCGGCAAACTCATTAGTCAACAGAGGTAAATATAAACAGGACAACGATTGAAATTTCTTTTGAGAGCCAATTTTTTTAAGTTATTTTTATTTTTATTTTTAAAATATATTTTATTGATTTTTTACAGAGAGGAAGGGAGAGGGATAGAGAGCTGGAAATGCCGATGAGAGAGAAACATCGACCAGCTGCCTCCTGCACACCCGCTACCGGGGATGTGCCCACAACCAATGTACATGCCCTTGACAGAAATCGAACCTGGGACCTTCCAGTCCGCAGGCTGACGCTCTATCCACTGAGCCAAACCGGTTTCGGCGAGAGCCAAATTTTTTAAACTTAAACTTCTTCTAATGCCACTTCTTCAAAATAGACTCGCCCAGGCCATGGTACTTTGTGGAAGAGCTACACTCAAGGGGTCAAAGAGCCGCAAGTGGCTCAAGAGCCGCAGTTTGCAGTTCATGAAGCTAGAACTATGACACCCAACTCAGGCCCTTCCAACACCCAGGAAGTGATTACCAGATGAGTAATCACTTGAGCTCGAAAGGAGACAGCAGGTACGAGATAGTCACTTAAACCACCTCTCTGACACCAGATGTGAAAAAGAACAAGCCTGGGCCGCAAGGCGAACCCGGCCTTGGGATCATATTACAGGTCCCAGACTGAAGTGGTCCATTTGTCTGTGCGCGTCAAAGCCCAATAAGACACGAACAGGAGTTTGCAGCCAAGAAAATAAGGGCTTATTGAAGAGATGGCACCATGCCCAAGAGTCACAAGTGAGCTAATGCTCAAAGACCTGGCTCCCCGATGGCTTCCAGGTGATGGATCATATAGGGGAAAAATCATCAATCATGGTGGCTGAAGGCGTTAGGGTCATGGTCTCCACTGATGGGTTGAGGCAAGGGGTAATCATTGATCGTTGCATCTGGCCCTGATGTTAGCCATGGAGGTGTTCTTTCTGAACTTGCAAGGATTTGTTCAGTGGGATCTGTTCTGCTTTTCTGGGTGCTGAGCTAGCAACTGAGGCCTAACATTATTTTATTTTTTTTTAAGCAGCTCTCTTTTTTGTTAATTGGTTTATTTGTTTGTTTTGTTAATCTTCACCTGAGGATATTTTTCCATTTATTTTTATTAATTTTTTAAAAATATGTTTTATTGATTTCCACAGACAGGAAGGAAGAAGGATCGAGAGCTAGAAATGTTGATGAGAGAGAAACATCGACCAGCTGCCTCCTGCACACCCCCTATCGGGGATATGCCCGCAACCAATGTACATGACCTTGATCAGAATCGAACCTGGGACCTTTCAGTCCACAGACCAACGTTCTATGCACTGAGCCAAACCGGTTTCAGCTCGGCTCCATTGATTTTTAGGGAGAGTGGAAGGAAGTGGGAGAGAGGGAGACATCGGGGTGAAAGAGGCACATGGATTGGTTTCCTAATGCCAGAGCCTGCAACCAAGGTACATGGCCTTGACTGGAATGGATGCTCTATCCTAGGGGTGTCGAACTCAATCAGAGAAGGGGCCAAAATCTAAAATCCAGCCTAAATCGCGGGCCGAATGGTTTACTGAACAGTCATAAACTGTCATTGTGATGGAAACGCAGCGGAGTGCAGTGATGACAGCGCGGTGCGGGCCACATTGCAAGGCCTGGCGGGACAGATTTGGCCCGCGGGCCTTGTGTTTGACACATGTGCTCTATCCACTGAGCCAAACCGATGAGGGATAAGGCATTATCTTTAGTTTGACTGAAAACTCTGGCTCTGTAGTCAGTAGATCTAGGACCTTGTTCCTAAGACTATTGGATGCTGACCAAAGCCTCACTGTCCTGAGGGCTTAATGAGCAAGCAAGGGAGAAGGGGGTGGGTGTGTCAAGGCCCTGGATGAAGCCAGTTTGAATTTAGGGGGAGGGAGAGAAGAACAGATTAAAGGAAATAAGGTTTCTGGGCGGTTACAATTAGAAGCAGGGCTGGAGGCACGTCCTCATTCTTAGCCCACACGCCCAGTGTACAGGACTCATTGCCTTCCTCTTAAATGCTGGTTTTGATATCACTCAATTCAACTGTACCTGTGAGGTACGCCAAAGGAAAAGCTGTTTCCAACTTTCCCAGATTCCTCTACTGAAATCAGAGAAGCCACCTTCCAACAGGTGGAAGTACTGGGGAACGGAATTGTTTTACCATTCTCTTTCAAAAGCCTTTTCAATTGCTACGACTCTTCATCTAAACTTCTTATTAGCTCTTAAGGGTAATGCGGTAGCATTAGCTTGTGTGGAGTGCCTGATGGGTATGAGGGCAGAGGGTTCCAAGCAGGGAGAGTGGAGTGACCCTCCCAAACCAGGGCACTGACAGGTCAAGAGAAAGCAACAAAGGGGTGGTGAGAAGGGTTGGGACTTTGGAGTCAGTCCTGCCTGAGTGCAACTTCAGTTCTGCAGTTTCTAGTTCTATGCCCTCCAGCTACTTATGTAACTTCCCTACGCCTTGTTTATAATTTTTTTTTCAAATGTCTACTTTGCAGAGTCATCATGAATACTAAATGAGAATAATCTGGACCCATAGTAAGCGTGCAAGTAGCATTTGTTGTTGTTGTTGTTGTTGTTATTATTATTATTATTATTATTATTATTGGAAATCAGGACTAGGCTAATAGCACCCCCCATTCCAAGTCTGTTTTTTAATTTGGAAAATACAATTGCCACCTACCAAAGGTATAAACTTTTGCCTAGGGAAACTTACCTAGATGGGGGAATAAGTCATGTATTTAACTTTAGGAAGTTAAATAACATTATATCAGGTGGTAAATGCTATATACAATACTATAAGATAGTAATCCTAACATTTTAGCATACCTAGCATTCCCTAGGGAACTTGTTAAAAATGCCGCCTCCTAGATCCCAACCTAAGAAATTCTGTTTCAGAAGATCTGGAATTGTTCCTAGAACCAGCATTTTTAAAAAATATATAGAGGGAGAGAGAGAGAGATATAAACATCAATGATGAGAGAGAACCATTGATTAGCAGCCTCCTGCATGCCCCCCACTGGAGATCAAGCTTGCAACCCAGGCATGTTCCCTGACTGGGAATCGAACCCTGACCTCCTGGTTCATAGATCAATGCTCAACCACTGAGCCACAGTGGCAGGGCCAGAATCAGCATTTTTTTTTAAATACTGTATATTTTTATTGATTTCATAAAGGAAGGGAGAGGGAGAGAGAGATGGAAACATCAATGATGAGACAGAATCATTGATTGTCTGCTTCCTGTATGCCCTCTACTGTGGATTGAGACCATGCTCTACCCACTGAGCAAAACCAGCTAGGGCCAGCATTTTTTAAAACAAGCTCTCAGTTGATTATGATACAGGTGGTCTGAGGACTACTTAGAATCTACTACATTTCACAAGAAAATGTCAGCAAGCAGGAAAAGGATCAATGGCTTGTATTCAAGTATAAGATGTTACTTTTAGGGAAAATCTTCCAAACAACACCTCTGAGATCATACACTTGTTTAAACTATTATTATCTATAATAATAGAAGGGTAATATGCTAATTAGTAATCAGATGGACAAAGCCAGGGCCTGAGGGAAGTCTGTGCTGGCAACCAGGAGAAGGAAAGCCTACTCTTGCAGGAATTTTGTGCATCAGGCCTCTAGTTATGTATATTATGGGATCTTGACATAATTTCTAAGTATTCCATGAAAACAGGTATCAGCCCGAAGTGCTGGCCACTGTGTATCAACAGCTGATGGACCCATAACACATTGTACTTGTTTATGCTTTCAGGTAAGCCAGCCAATCTTCTAGCCATGAAGATGTGCAGGAGGTAGAAAAATGAACATATTATACACATTACAATTAAAGATCCATATCAAGGAGCAAACTGAAATTAATTAAAAAAGATATATATATATATATATATATATATATATATATATATATATACACACACACACACACACACACACACACACACACACACATTTTTTTTTTTTTTAAAGGCCCTGGTCGGTTTGGCTTTGTGGACAGAGCATCAGCCCTCGGACTGAATGGTCTGGGTTTGATTCTAGTCCAAGTTGCAGGCTCGATCCCTGCACACCCCCTACTGGCTGGGATTGGGGCACATGCAGGAGGCACTAATTGATGTGTCTTTCTCACATCGATGTTCCTCTCTCTGTGTCTCTCTCCATCCTTTCCACTCTCTCTAAAAATCAATGGGAAAATATCCTCGAGTGAGGATTAACAACAAAAAAAGAAGTCCTTGCACAATCACCTAAGAAGA